AGCAGCGTTTGTGAGCACAGCGCTTATTTGTTTACAGCGGTTACCAGGGAAACCTCTTATCTCTCCTGCTCTACAAGCTCCTCCTGCTGGCAGAGAATGAATCTGCATATATATGTCGCCACAAATAGAGTGCAAGTCTGTGGGAAACACCGCTTCTGTTATGAATATTATTCAATATTTTAATTTGAATGTCGGATTGAAATGAACATCACTGTTATTAGAGTAGTTAATCGTTAGCATAAGCGCGGCTAACGCTAATATAATGAGCATTAGGATGAAGTTTCTTTATTAACTATTTAATGCTCATAACTTTTATTAGGGTAAAAAAAAAAAGGAGGACATGATGATATTTACTATTTTTACACACCAGAGGCTTTTAAACGAATTGTGAATCTAAAATATGCGTGTTAGAGAAAGTACAAATGGTAAACATTGTTTGTGTCATATCAGACACACCAGAGGCTTTTAAATGAATTGTGAATCTAAAATATGCTTGTTAGAGAATGTACAAATGGTTAACATTGTTTGTGTCATATCAGTCAAAAAAGCAGTTTTTTTGTTGTTGTTTTTAGCTAACTTAGTTAGTTGTTATTCTTGGCTGAATAACTCTAGAAGGTTTTAAAAGCCCTTTAAAATTAAATATGTCCACAGTTTGGATTAAATGAAAGCATAGTCAAATTTTTTAATTAGCATGTTTTTGTGTTTTGCTTTGGTACCGAACTTGGTACCGAGAACCGTGGATTTTCACTGGTATTGGTACCGAATACTGAAATTTTGGTACCGTGACAACACTAGTGGAGACATTTTTATCGTCCACGATCAAAAATAGTCATATCGCACACCCCTAATTAACATGTTAACATTTTTATTTGCCGACAACAGGCCAAATTAAAGCTCGGTTTAACATTTGAAAATTTAGAAGTAAATATTAGTGTTGTAATTTTACAGTAAAACTAAATCATTTTATTACAGTATTTAATTTACAACATTACAATATTTATTTTTGTCTAATATTTTTATTTCATAATAATCACAATAAAATCACTTACATTATTATAGCCATGTTTAATTGGTCAAAATTAATGTGACAAATGTAATGTAATCAAAACTCGTGATTCTTGATTCTTGTAAAAAGTAAACAAGTATGAACTCCCAAATTTTCTATTTTTTTCCAAAATTGTTCAGGTCTAAATGGACTTAATAGCAAGGACTTAATTGAAATAAGAATTTTTCAGCTTTTTAAAATTAATTTTTTTTTTCTATCTACATGCAATTGCCAACAAAATCACTCCAATAACTCTAAAATGATTTGTTATTTTCAAATATAGCTATCCAAGTCACCAGGTAAAAAATTCCTTTGTTTTATATCACAATATATACTCACAAAATATCACAGTATCATTTTATTCCACACTACTCTACAATGTAAACAGCTCACTAGGATCTGAAGCAGAGCTATTATCTCTTCTTATCATCTTAAATATGATAACATTTCCAGTTGAAGCCACCGGATATCATCACTGCTGCATCTGTTCTGTTATTATAACCCAGCAGCGGAGCACAAATAAAGCAGCGAGTCAGTGTCAACAATTACTATCACCAGCAAAAGATGTAAGAAACAAATCCATCATTAAGACATACGAGTCCATAATCCATAATAAAGCTTTGTCCAGTGAAAAGTCCATCTCCTGTTGTCTCTCACATCAAAATCTAGCCACATATGTGTTTAGAGCTGTTTTGGCTTGTAAATGGTGCTTGATCTGTGCAGATTTCTCTCCTGATTCAGACCAGAACACTTTTTCACTGGAGGAAGCGTTATTATGGATTATTAACTCGTATTTTAGTTAAAAGCATCTTAATGCTGGATGCGTTTCAGCTTTTGTCTTCTCCAGATGTTAACTGATGGACTGGAGTGCTGTGGATTACTTGTGGATTATTGTGATGTTTTTATCAGACTCTCATTCTGACGGCACCCATTCACTGCAGAGCATCCATTGCTGAGACACTGATGCAATGCTAGTATTTTAGTTAAAAGCGTCTTAATGCTGGATTTGTTTCAGCTTTTGTCTTCTCCAGATGTTAACTGATGGACTGGAGTGCTGTGGATTATTGTGATCTTTTTATCAGCTGTTTGGACTCTCATTCTGACGGCACCCATTCACTGCAGAGCATCCATTGCGGAGACACTGATGCAATGCTACATTTCTACAAACCTGATGAAGAAACAATCTTGATTGTGAGGTGAAATGTGCCGTTTTTGTGAGATTCGCCCACTATAGCTACTCCGATCTCAATGACCTCACACTATCCGGACCCTATTTGCATTTATCAGATATTAAACCACATTTACGGGTGTAATCTCGGCACCTGTGTGGTCCGGTCGATCCACCTAGACGCCAGTCAGACCAGCTGATTTCCATAAAGGGAAGTCATTTATGTATCCTGAAGAGCATATGCCATCCTATAGCTCCATTACGGCTTTTTATGTCTCCTATCTTCCCAGAAGCACTTCAGGAGCATCTCATCAGGGCAAAATGACTACAGTAGACGACGTCAACCGCTTTATAACAGCACTCGCCAAAAACCGCGGAAGCCGTCCAGCCCTAAACACCTCATCTTGTGATTGCTAACAAAGGCCTCATTTACTTCATTCACGTAATTTGGACAAATCCTTGCATTTGTGGCTTGTGCAGCACAAAAGGCCCATTGAGGGACGAGACGAGACGTCTGAACATGTTAAATATTTAGGTGTAATTGTGCATGCACTCTATAAGCGGCGTGCTGGTTTTGGCCGCGCTCTCGTGTAAAACAAGTAATGGATAAACAGCGATATTCATAAGACAGCAGTTCAGCGGTCATGACAGGCCAACTATTTATAACTCTAAAGATAGTACGGGACAGTTCCTCTTCACATGCGTAAGAAAACAGTTTGCAATCAAATAAACAGATCTGGCCTAAACTTCTCACAGTGTAAACTACACAGAATTACAGACCGAGACCTGACTGTCAAGTACTGGCACGTTTACAGACAAGCAAGCGTCTGAACATCTTTAATGGTTCAGATAACTTAAGCACCGTGTACTTTACTATTGTTTATTCACAGGAACTAATTTGCTTAAACCCCAACTCGCCCTGGTCTACCACAGGTTTGCGTAATCATTTCCATAGAGCGCAATAACAGGTGAGATTTCTATTAAGCCACGGAATCAGGAGTGATTATGAACTCTAGTTTTACAGCTTTTTTACAGTCTGAGAAGCACAGAAGATAAAGCGCTTGCAGTAAATATGACATTTTTACAGATTTTTTAGAGTGTGTATTATAATAATAATAGTAATAATATTAAATAATATATCATATTGATTGTCATTTATAATAATAATAATTATTATTATTATTATTAATTAAACAATAAATGTTATTTATTATATTTTTTATAGGCTTATATATATATATATATTAGTTTGTTTGTTTGTCTTTAGGAGAAAACCTTACTTTTTCTACTTGCAAACAAAAATAATGTCAGACAAACTTGAGACATATTTTCCAACATCCATCCGTGTTATCCATACAACGTGTTATCCATATCCATAATTATTATTATCCAGTAACCAGTACAGTTTAACCAACCATTGGCACTTTAAACAGTGTAAACTGCTAATCAATCTATCAATCAGAACTGATCAATACACCATCACACACTGTTGGGAAACAAAGTGGAAACTTTCCATTTGGAATTTTAAATATAGATGTGCAACATAGAATCTAAATATAGACACACAGAGCACATAAAAATAATTATTTAATTTATTTTTTAAAGAAAACCACATATGCTGATATACTTTACACAAATAATAAAGTCGTATTAATAATAAAGAAAAAATAGTTTTTTCTAGCGGGTGCAGGATTCTATAGTTCATAAATGCCAGTGATGATAGCAAAATAAAGTAAAATGTTACATATTTAATAAATAAGAGAATAAACTGTGATATAATGTGAGAAATGTTGAATACATTTTGGTTTGACTGTATGAATAGCAGCCTATAAACCGCTATCAATCATTTAGACTGATCAATACAGCATAAAGACACTGCTGGGAAACATATTTACCAACATCCAACTCACTATCTGACAGATAAGTTAACAGGTGTGTTATCCAGTACTAACCAGTACAGCTTAACCAACCACTGGCATTGACATATGAATAGCATAAACAGCTGTCAATCAATCAGACTGATATACCGTTATAACCGTTAAACTCTGAAGAGAAACGAAAAGCTTCGCCATTCGGTTAATTCATCAACTACCATCACTAATCACCACACTTTACCTCAGATTACTGCAGCAGGACTCACATTAAGTGCACTAATGTGGAGAAAAGACGAGTTATTAGTAATAAAGCAGCGTTTTCGCTTGACTTACATCTTCAAACAGCGATCCAACGTTGGCGGTGACCAGCAGGATTCCCGCGCCCTGCGCTGTCAGCTTCCCCGCCATCATTAATTAGCTGCTGAGCCGGACTAATGAGCTAATTTGAGCTGTTTCTGGTTCTGGAGTCGAGCAATGGTTCGTGCGGTTAACTAAACGCTGCGGGTTCGAGTCTCGATCAGCTGGGCTCCTGCATACTGCGCGTGTATTACGCGAAATCAGAGCGCGCTGCGTACTCAACACGTCGGGCTTCACTTCTCCGCCGTTCCCGTCATGATTTGAAGAGTTCCCCGGTTTAATCCGCGGCGAGCGCCGGTCTGCGGAGCGCGTTTCGCTGGCGTTCGGTTCGCATTGCTCGCGTTTGTTGAGGGAGGACACGCCGCTGCTGGAGAGAGTCCTGAGCTGCGCTGACGTCACGGAGCCAATGGGAAAACGCGGCTCTTAAAGGGGTAACGCGTTACGGGTGTTGCCGTTTTAAGAGCTATATGTTTCCATTGGCTTAGTGACAGCGAGGGATTTCAAACGGCAACATAGCGGTGCCCCTTTAAGAACCGCGACAGTGTGTGTGTGTGTGTGTGTGTGTGTGTGTGTGTGTGAGAGAGAGAGA